GCTGCTTCTACACTAGCATAACTCAATCTCACGCACTTGCTACACCTTCGTCTGCGGTTACCCTTCCACCTCCCCGTCGTTATCTCACCAAACAGCAGATGTGATGGACTAACTTCTGTTGGCAGACACACTCGCCCAATACACTGATAAGTTGTTGTTGTGCTCAAAACAAATGCTACGCAGTAAAATGTTGGCAAAGCGTAGGAATAGAAGAGAAAAGAGGAAAAGGAGACGAAAAAAGGTGACCTCTATGCAGATGGTATTTTAGAGTTGAGATATTTTGCTACAGAACATGAAATAATTGCAGTTGAAATAAAATTATTTGTAGGAATGGTGAGAGAGAGCGTAAGTTGCACGGTAGTTTCACGAACGCACATGTTTTGTTTTACTCGGCTTTGTTGAGGAGGCAGAAGCGAAAAAGGAGCCGTGAGCTGGTTAGTGCATGTGAATGCGTAATTGGAGTGAGGGTGGAGGATTGAAGTGATTGGTGAATTGGCACAAGTGGAGTACATGTGACTCGGCAGAAGAATGGACTCGAAGACGAGGCCACGGTGCTGTTCCAACGTGCGTAGGCGTGACGCCAATTGGTGAAGGAGCACCACTCGAAGTGAAGTTGACTTCATGGTGAAATCGTGTGTAGTGCATGCGAAGTGGGAGGCTGGATGTGAGTTACGCGTACATCTGTGAAGGTGAGGGAGGATGTGGCGTGGCAGGTGACTTCACGAAAGACGTTGCGCAACGCAGGTGGCTACATTAACTAAGGTGGTGGGAAGGAAGGATAAGGTGAGAGAGGTGGGGTGGGGATCGTAGAATGCGAGCATAGAAGTGACCTGTGGAGGCAAGGTTGGAGGTGGGATGTGAGGAGGGCCAGAAGTAAGGCGGTACAGCATGAATGAGTAGAGTGGAGGTGAAGATGTCATCGAGAATGGTGTTTGGGTATGCGGAGGAGCAGCGATGGCTCGAGTGGAACTGGTGGAGAGGCAGCACGTCATCTCCACCATAGTAAAGTGGGATGTGAGACAGGAGAGGTGGTTCAAGTGCAGATGTTGGCAATCCTTTGACAAGTTAAAGCCTTTCTCCCACCAGTTGTGGGGAGCGGAAGCGTCAAACCCACGCATTCTCTGCTGCCAGACTAGTCACTACTGATGGTAGCACTTCCACAGGTCAACCAACTTTCGTGCAAGTCATCCAGAGCACAAACACCAAATCCATAGTCTCACGCCTTCATTCTACCATGTCATGTCATGCCATGCCATGCCTCTCCCCATCTCTCCCACCCCTTACTCACGCTGGGGCGATCTCAAC